AAAGTAATTTTTAAAATAATATAAATTATTTTATAAATTTAATATCTTTTTAAATTCTTTTTTTATTTTATTTTATAATATATTATTAAATTAGTTTATATATAATATATAAAATCGCTTTATTTCATAAATAATATATTTAAATTTATTAATAAAAATTAGTATTTAATTCTTTTTTTATAATTTAAAAAAAGTTTAAAAAATATAAAAAAAAAATTTTATATTAAAATACGTATTTAAGTTATTTTATATTAAATTCTATTTAATATAAAAATAAATAATATATTTCCTTTTTAAAATTTATTTTTTTTATATTTTTCTATATGTTAAAATTAATATATGTTTAATAAATAAAACTAAAAATATTTTTTAAATATTTATTTAAAAAAGTTATTTAATAGTTTTTTTAATTAAATCTATATTATTAAAATAATCTTAAATAAGGCTTATTTAATTTTATCTTTTATTAAAGTTCTTAAATAAAAGTCTTTTTTTTAATACTTTTAATTTAATTATTTATTTATATTATTGCCGCGTTTTTATTAAAAAATAAAAATTATAATTAAAAATCTTTTTATATTTTTTTATATTTTTTCTTTTTAATAAATTAAATAATTATCATTTTAATAATTAATTTATAAAACTCTTTATTTGTTTTAATATTATTATAAATTATAAAATAATAACGTTTTCATTCATTATTTAAGTTTTTAATATAATATTGTTTTTTATATTATTTTATTAAGGTAATAATAAAGCGCTTTATAAAGCATATTTACTATTAAAGCTTTTAATATTATATTAATATTAAATAATAAAGTCGTTGATTAAATCTTTATTAACTTTCGATATTCTTTTTAAATAAAATATTCTTTAACTATCTTTTTATTAATAATATATTAGCCTTTATTTATTATTAAAACTTTTATTTATAATTTATTAATATTTATATTTACTTAATTAAACAACCTAAATACGATTTTATTATTTTATTAATTATTATACTTATTATCTTTAAATTATATTAAAATCTTTTATTTTATTTTAATTATTTTAAATTAAAAAACTTTAAAAATTATAAATATTTACTTAAATATTTAAATTTAAAAATTAAAAAAATTATTATCGGTTTTTTAAAACTTATTTTAATTTAATAAGGCCGAAAATCTGCTTAGCCGTCGCTATTTAAATATAAGTTAATTAAGTTAATATAGTATGTAATAGCGGTATTTTTATAATTATTAAAAATAATTATAATTATAACGTTTTTAATATACTTTTTTAAATAAACTTTAATATATAGTTTTAATATTATTAATTAATTACTTTTGTTTAATATTTAATTTAAAAATAATAAAAGAGTTATTAATATAGTTTAAATTTTTATTTAATAAGTTTAAAATATTATATTTTAATTAGTAAATTTATTTAAATATTTTTTAAAAATAATAAGAATTACTAAAGCTTTTATTATTATTTATTAAAAAATAAACTTTTAATAAAAAATTTAAAAATCCGTTTCTATTTTTTAAAATTAAAATAAAATATTTAAAAATTTTATTTATATTTAATATATTAAATATTTATATTATTTAAATTAATAAAAACGAGTTTAAATAATTTTAAAAAAACTTTTTATTATTAAAATTCCTAAAAATTTAAATTTATTATAAATTTAAAATTATTTATATATTTAATATTAATTAAAATAGTAAATAATTAAAATATTAAATAATTAAAAGAATATTATTTTAAAAAGTTTAAAAATATATTATTATATTTTTATAAATTATAAATTAATTATAAATCTTAAAAAATTAAATTATATTTTATTATATATATAAACTTTTAGAAATTTATTTTATTTTATATAAAAGTTTATTTAAATATTTATAAACTTTTATAAATTAATTAATTAAAAAATTAAAATTTTAATTATTTAATAATTTATCATAATTATTATTTATATTTTATTATAATTAATATAATTTTTAATAAGTTATTTATATTTATTTTTAATATTATTAAACTTAATAAAACGTAAGTTTATAAATTTATTAATTAAAAGAATTTCAATTTAAATAAACTTTTTATTATTATACGTTTAGATTTTATTTTTATTATTATTATTTTTTAAAATAATTATTTATTTATAAAATCTTTTTTTTAGTTTAATAATACGTTTAGTAATTAATTTAATAAAGTTTAATTTTTTCAATAATTATATATTAACATACTTTACTAATTAGCCGCGTATATTAATTAACTACGTACTTTTTCTAACTTTTTAAATATCTTATAAATTTATATAACTATAATATAAAATATTAATTAATTATTTTTAATATTTAAATTATTAAATAATTTTATATTTCTAAAATATATTTAAGTATTATAATTTATTTTATTATATATATTATAACGCTGTTAAACCGACCGACTTTTTTTTATAACCTTTTTTTTTTTTTTTTAAATTAAGTTTTTTTTTTTTTTTTTTTTTTTTTTTTATTATTTTTTTTTTATTTTTTTTTTTTTTTTATTTTTTTTTTTTTTTTTTTTTTTTTTTTTTTTTTTTTTAATTTTTTTTTTTTTTTTTTTTTTTAGTATAACTTAGGATTTTTTTATATTAAGTGCTTTTTTAAGCTAAATACGTATTTTTTTTATTTTTTAATGCTTAATAAATGTAAAAAGTCGATTATAAAAGGTATAGGCGTCTATATATATATATTAAGCTTTTTAATTATATAATTTAAATCTTATAATAAAATTCTAGCTCTATAGAAAATAGATTTAATATTTTTATTGAAAAAGATCTTATTATAGGCCTTATAGAAAGTAATAAAGAACTCGGATTTTATAATATAATATAATTAATAAAAAATTTAATAAATAAGTTAATTTTATTTTTATATATACGTTTCAAAAGTAAATAAAGTATATTATTTCATAATTAAAATAAATAAAATAAATATAAAAGTATATTAACGATTATAATATTATTTTATTTATAATATTTATTAAATTCGATTAATAAATAGCTTTTATACTTATTAATTATAAATATTCGATAAATACCCTTTATATAGGCCCGAATATATTTATTTAAATATTTAATTTAATCTGAACTAATTTTATTATTAATTTATTTATTAATACTTAGCTTAATTACTTAGTCGTTTAAGAAACCGGATTTTATTAACTAATTAATAAAATAATAAGACCTTTAACTAATTACGAAAAGCGGGATATATTACTATTTTAAATTAATATATTTAATAATTATAACTTATTTATAATTATTAAGCTAAACGTATTTCACTTTTCTATATTTATTAGCACGTATAACGACTATTAACTTAGTAATAACGCTTATTATAAAGCTAATTTTATCGAAATTATATAGATTTTTATTATAAATATTATATTTAGTTATTATATTATTTAATAATATAAATTATTTTAAAATAATTTTTAAATCTTTTTAAAAAGCCTTTTAATAATTATATGAATAATTAAATTTAGTTTTTTAAATTAATTACTAATTAATAAACTTTTTAATTTAATATTTTTTAATAGGCGTCCTATTTCGTATTTAAAATAAAAAATTAGCTATATCTTTTATATTAATAAATTAAAAAAAAATCTTTTAAAATTCTATTTAATAACGTATTAAAAAAGTATTTTTTTTAATTAAATCGAGTTTATATTATTAAAACTAAATTTAGTTACGGCGGAGTTAACTATTTATTTTATTATATAAAGTATTTTTAAAAATATTATATATCTTTATAATATATTATATATTAAATTTCTAACTTGTAGTGCATATAGCTCGGATCGCTTTAATAATAAAAATATTTTTATTTTTTAAATATAAATTAGTATTATAATTATTAAGTTATTACGTATTAAAGGTTTAAGTGGTTAAGAATAAAGCGTGTTATGGAAAAAGTATACGGCTAATTAATATACGCGGCTAATTAGTAAAGTACGTTATTATTATTAACGTTTTTTATACTTAAATTAATAAAAGTTTAAATGAATACGTTTTTTATATATACTTAAAAATCAATATATTAAATTAATGAATTTATTTTTATATTAAAATATTCATTACTATTAAATATAAAAAATTAAATAGTTATTAATATCGTTAATAAACGCTTTACTTTTTTATAAATTTTAAAATAATTAAAATATTTTTTTTATTTTAAAAAAAAGTTTATAAAAATTAAATTTATAATTATAATAAAATTTATAATAAATTAAAAATATAAAAATATAGTTTTTATAATGTAAATTTTTTTTTTAAAAATATATTTTTATAAATTAATGAAATAAATATATTAATTAAGGGCGCTTATGAAGTAAATTAATAAGCGTATTTAAGTGGGTATTGCTTTAGTTATATATAGCTATGCGCTAGACTTTTTGCAATATATTATTATTATTTTATATTAATAAAAAGCTTTTTTATTACGTAACCGTTTTTAAATTATTTAATTAAAAACATAATAATATATTAACTTAAGATTTTTCTATTCGGTAACTATTATGTATAGTGTAAATAGACCTTCTTCATAAAAAGAATATTTCTATATAAAACGCGCTTGCTTTCTTTGCGATATCACTGGAGCTAGTTAAACGCGGATTTTACATACCCCCCTGCCAAAGTTTATTGGAGTAGGTCGCTGGAAGCGCAGTGGAAGGGGACCTGGGTCCACCACAGCTTGTTCCTGCCACATTGCTTGCTACCCGGTGTGAAGTCACACAGCTCAAAGTCAACGCCGCCTGTCAGTTACACCGTGGCCAAATGAGGCTACTACTTTAATCGTGTCCTCTCTTACCCACAGCAACTCTCGCGACCCTCGCAAACCATTGTTGGCGAGGTGAGTATAATTCGCATACCATATTACACCCAGAAGCTGATCACACCTTCAAAGTCATACGTCAATACCCCATTGCCCACCTATCGATCGCCGCACAGTCCTCGCTTAACGATGGATTACGAAGCTCTCAAAGAGCAATGGAGCGAGGTTGAGGACCGTGATGGTGTTCGCCTCAGCTGGAACGTGTTTCCTAGCTCTCGCATGGTAAGTTGCGCCTAGCTTCAATCGCCTATTTCTCTGCATCTTCCGACTGATGCTTATGCAGGAAGCATCGCGCTTGGTCGTGCCGATTGGGGCCAACTACACTCCACTCAAGGAGAAGCCCGACACACCACTCCTCCAATTTGAACCGGTCACCTGCAAGCAACCTTGCCGCTCTGTGCTTAACCCATTCTGGTGAGTCTGTATCATGTCAGTCGCCAAGACAATGGATCTCTAATTTGGGCCAGTTCTGTGGACGTCAGAGCTCGTCTTTGGATCTGTCCGTTCTGCCTCTCTAGGAACCCCCTCCCACCTCACTATAAAGACATCACCGCCAACGCAATCCCTCCGGAACTTCATCCTTCCAACACTACGATCGAATACCGCCTCTCGCGACCGGCGCCGAGTCCTCCAATTTTCCTCTATGTTGTCGATACCTGCCAGGAGGATGATAGTTTGTCGGCGCTCAAGGAGTCACTGGTCATGAGCCTGAGCCTCCTACCCGAGAACGCACTAGTTGGTCTAATTACATATGGCACCATGGTAAGTACCCCATCACATGTTGCAATATACTCTTTGCTGATCACTCACTTCCCAAGGCCCAAGTTCACGAGATTGGTTATACTGAATGCGCCAAATCATATGTGTTCCGCGGCAGCAAGGACTACTCTGCGAAGCAAGTGCAAGAGATGCTCGGCTTGCTCAGCCCAGCAATGCGACCAGGCATGCCCCAGCAGCAACCCGGAAGGCCCATGCCCGCCGGCCCTGCGTCGAGGTTTTTGCTACCCGTTCAGCAGGCCGAGTTCCAATTGACAAAAGCGCTGGAGCAGCTTCAGAAGGATCCATGGCCCGTAGCCAATGACCGCAGGAGTCTGCGTTGTTCTGGCGTAGCTCTGAGCGTTGCTGTAGGACTTCTTGAGTCTTCATTCCAGCACGCCGGTGGCCGCATCATGCTCTTCGCTGGTGGACCGGCAACGGAGGGACCAGGCATGGTTGTCGGCCCAGAGCTGAGAGAACCCATTCGATCACATCACGACATTGACCGTGACAATATCAAGTACTACAAGAAGGCGCTCAAGGTCAGTATTTAGCTGAGATCTTCATGGCCTCAAACGCTAATATCCATCCGTAGTTCTACGATATTCTGGCCAAGAGGACTGCTCACAACGGCCACATTATTGACATATTTGCGGGTTGCCTTGATCAAGTCGGTCTCCTGGAAATGAAGGGTCTCTGCAACTCCACTGGCGGTCATATGATTTTGACAGACAGTTTCACTTCATCCATGTTCAGGCAATCGTTCATTCGCGTATTTGAAAAGGACGGCGATGATAACTTGCTCATGGGTTTCAATGCTACACTCGAAGTGCTCACCACTAAGGAGCTCAAGGTTACTGGACTAATAGGTCATGCCATTTCCCTCAACAAGAAGTCCACATCAGTGGGAGAGACGGAGTGCGGCATCGGCAATACGTGCTCGTGGAAGATGTGCGGTATCGACCCCAACGCCAGTTACGGCGTATATTTCGAGATTGCAAGTCAGGGAGGCCCCACGCAGCATCAACAAACACCACAGAAGGGCATGATCCAATTCCTCACCTACTACCAACACTCATCCGGCCAATTCCACCTGAGGGTTACAACGATTGCAAGGAATCTTAGTGGCCCAGCTGGCGATCCAGCTATCGCGCAGTCGTTTGACCAGGAAGCTGCTGCCGTCCTTATGTCTCGCATTGCCGTGTTCAAGGCTGAGGTCGATGACGGCCCAGATGTCCTACGGTGGGTCGACAGGATGCTTATCAGACTCTGCTCCCGTTTTGCAGACTACCGAAAGGATGATCCATCCTCCTTCCGTCTAGAGAAGAACTTTACGCTGTACCCGCAGTTCATGTTCCATCTCCGACGAAGTCAGTTCCTACAGGTTTTCAACAACTCTCCTGACGAGACGGCTTTCTATCGTCACGTTCTTAACCACGAGGACGTAAGCAACTCGCTCATCATGATCCAACCCACACTAGACTCGTACACATTTGATCAGGAGGGTGGCCAGCCTGTTTTACTGGATTCAACTTCCATTCAACCCACCCACATCCTTCTTCTTGACACTTTCTTCCACATTCTTATTTTTCACGGTGAGACGGTCGCTGAATGGCGCAAAGCGGGATATCAAGACCAGGAGGGCTACGAGAACTTTGCGTCTCTGCTCGAGCAGCCAAAAGAAGACGCAAGAGTACGCTATGTTACCCCGCCAGATCTGTCTGCACGCCAGCTAACACACGGCAGGACCTCATCACCGATAGATTCCCGCTTCCTCGATTCATTGTTTGTGACGCTGGAGGATCGCAAGCTAGATTTCTTCTCTCCAAGCTCAACCCCTCGACAACGCACACGACTGGAGCTTATGGCGGCGTGGGTGCGCAAAACGCCCAGACTATCTTCACTGATGATGTGTCTTTGCAAACCTTTATGGACCATCTCATGAAGTAAGACAAGATTCATTGCTTACATGGTCCTGAGGGCCTTGCTAACTCCGAGTTCCAGGCTGGCCGTTAGTGGCACAAACTAGATAAAAGAGTCGTTTGATCGATCTGGGTCTAGGAAGGACAGCGGTCTGAGTGACGACGCGATGGATGTGTTGGTCTTGCTAAGATATCAGAAACCTACAGGGTGTAGACGAAGGGCAATCCGCAAACTTTGAGTTGGGCTACTCCCAGCAGGCAACTTCTGACTTAGCCGAGGTATTTAAGAAACATGACGAAACACATCGATGAAAGAGACGCCTGCATCTGACTTTAATCACGCCATGGGAATATGACCATAAAGTTTGACTTGTGCTGGTTGTATCTGGCCTTGAATGTTCCAGCTCATTTATTCTTCAAATGAATATTGCAAGTTCTTCTGTCCGCTCCTCAGACTTTGCCTGTTTGTTCTGCCCTTCCATCCTTGTCACCTATCCTCCGACCTGTTCAGCAGTGCTAGTAGGAAGCACACTTTCGCCAGTGGGAGGAGTAAAGCTAGGTGGGAGCGAGACAACGATTACTGCGTATCGAGGTTTCGGTACTTACTTACCTGTAAAGAGCGCGGCAGGGTAGGGAGGGCTTCTGCAGCTGAGACGCCCCGCCCCCACTAAGGCACCGTACTTCGGGTGGGTAAAATAGGTACTCAATATACCTAAGTCCCTTAGGGCAATACTTCGCGAAAGGTACGGATACTGCTTGCTTTCACTGTACGGGGCTTGCCAATGTGGCTTCACCTTGCCATAGAAAGGTAGATAAGATAAGATAGACACCAATGACACCCTAAGGTACCTAAGGTATGGACCAACCTCAGGTAGAGATGGTCTTTGGTTCAATGTTGCGCCTTTGACCAAGAGTTTCTTTCTGTAGATAAGGAATAGCACGTGACATATGCGGCTTCCCTTAGCGAAAACGGCCCTCTGCGGACAGCTCGAAACGTGTCATTGGCCAGGCTCTTGAGTTCTAATTTTCTCGACTCAGCCACAAAAAATGTGGCGCAGTCTTCTAGGCTTTTTTGCCTAGGGCTGTGAGAAGGCGCACAGAACTAATCAACATTTTCCCCCGTCCAACTCGGCCTCAATTCCATCCTTCGACACCAACTTTCCCATCAGACCCAGATCCGAGAGCAGTCACGATGCGTAAGTATTTCTCTTGATGGCTATCAGGCCCAGCACTCAGAGATAGCAGGGAAACTAATGTTTTACGTCTCGCGCAGCTCCTAAATTCGATCCCAACGAAGTCAAGGTCATGTTCGTTGCACCTCCCTTTAATTCGTGGATGGAAGGAATAAGTTCACTAATACAGTTCGCGAATACAGCCACCTCCTGGCCACGGGAGGTGAGGTTGGTGCCTCTTCCGCCTTGGCCCCCAAGATCGGTCCTCTCGGTCTGTCTCCTAAGAAAGTTGGTGAAGATATCGCGAAGGCCACCGGCGACTGGGTATGTCAAACCCCTCGATGATGAATTTCGACCCCCCCCCCCCCCGCCCGCGCGTGAGGGTCGGCCGGTCAGCAGCTCCCTTTGGAGAGGACCTCGGGGCGCGGGCACCCCCCCCCCCCCCCCCCCACGCCCCCCCCCCCCCCCCCCCCCCCCCCCCCCCCGGCAAGTGAGTGAGAGTAGCACTGACAGCAATTCAATTATAGAAAGGCCTTCGGGTGACGGTCAAGCTCACCATCCAGAATCGTCAAGCCGCCGTCTCCGTTGTTCCCACCGCCTCCTCCCTCATCATCCGCGCCCTCAAGGAACCCCCTCGCGACCGCAAGAAGGAGAAGAACATCAAGCACAACAAGTCTGTTCCCCTGGAAGAGATCATCGAGATTGCGAGAACTATGCGCCATAAGTCTTTCTCCAAGACGTTGGAGGGCGGTGTTAAGGAGATCCTGGGAACGGCGAACAGTGTTGGATGCCAGGTTGACGGCAAGAGCCCCAAGGCCATCACCGATGCTATTGATGCTGGCGAGATTGACAGTAAGTACCCGCCGCTCTTCCATCAATTGCTCTAGCACAACCTTGCAAAGTGATTGTACTGTCTGGGGTGCCTGGCTGACGAGATAAACAGTCCCCGAGGAGTAAAGGAGGCCATAGCCGGACGGACACTCTCGCATGACTTCTGGAGTTTAGGAATGGTTCTGCATTAAGGGGACTACCCAAAAGGGGCAACCTTGGGCAAAGAAGAAAAAAGTTGCCAAATGACCAAATGACAAAGTTACCAAAGATGGTTGTAGCAATCTCGCTCGCGACCTGCTGCGTAGAGGTTGATGTACTAGAATGTGCATGAGGATTCGTCGCCTTGGCAGCTCTGAGACATGTCAATGGCCATGCCACGGCATATTTCTTTTCTGGTTTCAAAATTGGCTTCATACTTTCGAATAGCTCTGTTAAGTACAGTCTCCAACCACGCTCGGCACGCAAATCGAGGCCATCACACGCGGCCAAATTAAACGTAGTCATCCCACGATTTGTGCGCCAGGAGGCTCCAGGAGGGGTGTCAAAATTTCCACAGCTACTGAGGTAGATTGAATAAGTCAAGGGCTAGAGGCCAGCTCACATACAGAGTACACAGCGCGTCGCAGGACACTAGTAGACGAAGAATGTGACCGTTAGCCGTGGGGGTTCGTTTATTTGCGGACCAACCTTGCGTTAACGTCTGTAATGGAATAAGTTACGGATACACACTGCGCAACTAGGCGTTCAAGTTCGAGAAACCTTGCGGACGATTAAAACGATGCAGCGAAACCAATGTGTTTGACACTAATGCATGGATACAGGCTTGTCACCTCGCTGGCCGGCGTCTAACATCGATAATGGTGCGTGTTGGACTTGTTGCTGTGGTCGAGCCACCAAGTGCCCCTGCTGTTTCCTTCTGAACATTCGTTTTCATTTGGAGAGTTTTGGCATGGAGGACAGTTTAAAAAAAAACAAAAAAAAAACGTCTACGGTCGCCTCCCAGAATGCCAAATTCTATGTGGCGGTTCAGAGACGAGCGACATGAAGGCTACGTATGGGCCTTTGACAAAATTCAATAATAATTAATTGCTACCTCTTCAACTTTCCAAGGCCCGGCATCATGGAGGTACTATGTAAGGCGCCTCCACTTAGGTACCTTATCGGGCTACCAACGAACAAGGTAAGGTACCTGAGGTATCTTAGGTGGGCTGTCGTAGGCACTCGGATAAGGTAAGGTAGGGCAAGCTAGCTATCTAGGCACCTAAGGTACCTCTTGAACCGGCTACGTCTCTAACGCACCTTCCGTGCTTCCCTAAGGTAAGGTATCATCGCCTACGAAAGGTACCTCCGCAAAGCGCCACTTCCGCCTCCAACCGTTGTTCCCAAACTCTACTATTAGCAATCTTCCCTAAATGAGTCGTGATTTCCCTGCTAGCTGGAAGTTTTGTTGCGGCATTCTCGAGCTGTTGTAATCGGGAGATAATATGCCCTCTACTTGTTATCACCCCCTCTGTAACCTGCCGCTAAGCGCTGCCTCGCGTCCTCAATTGATGGACCGCTTTGGAGCACTGCGCCCCAGTCGCAACCCCCCGCCCGCGCTCCGTCACCTAAGGTACGTCGGAAGTTCCGCTACACCACCCTGGTCACGACATCCGACTTTGAGCAGCCTAACCACCAATCCAAGGCACCCCATGGTCCGCGCATACATGGGAAGATACTGTGCAGGCTCGTGTCCACCAGCGAGCTGACCTTTTTCTCCGCCTTACGCCATTCGCCTCCGCCGCCTCCTGGATACGTACCTCCGTGTCAGGCTGGAGACTACAGACAGGGAGGGAACCTGGGGGACTCTTAGGCAGATTCTCGAGTAAATCGAGACGAATCGATTGATTCCAGGCCATAGAGCGTTCAGGTCAACTGTCCGAGTCGGGCTGATGCTGAAGTTGATTTCTTGGCCATCGACGTCCGACCTTCTACTGTACTTCTGTGACTTCTTTGGTGGTCTATCTTCATGATCGCCTTATCTGCCCGATCTGCGCGTCTGGGTTCTCCCAGCGGCTACCGTACTTCTGCCACCACGACTCAACTGGGGCTAAACCGGGCTGAATCACATCTTCCCACCACAACCAAACCTGTAGCCACGGCTACGGCTGCAAGCTATAGCTGTCATTCCCGCTCCCGTAACGGCTACGGCTACGGCTACCGTTACTGGTACTCCTACCGCTGCAGATTTCGCACTAGTCGCGTTGTGTCTCGTTCCGCACTCCACGTTGCCTTCGCATTCTTCCTTCCATCAACAGAGGACCACGCGATCTACCGCCTCAATCTCGCCTCCTGCGACCTCTGTCGCCATTTCCGCCGGCCAAGTCTACCCTTTTCGACGTCGCCGTTCCTTTGTTGGACTCTCAGACTCCCATCGCCCCGACCGACGAACCCGGCGCCATCTCTACGGCTTTACGACGAACCTCTCTCACATAGCGATCTTCTCCCGACCTTACCCTCCGACGCTCCTCGTCGAACTTGAACCATAAAGGAGTCAGCCTTTTAGGTCTGATAGGGTCGCAGGGCAGGTGGCATTGGTATCGGGCATTGGCAAAGCCGTTTGCTCTAGGCGCCCCAGAGGCCATGCCCGTCAGCCGGCTTGTCAGCCATGCTTTAGCCAGCAGGCAATGACAACTGGTTCCCGGATCGCTTTATCCAGCCTAGAACTCGCAGAACCCTCCATGGTGCTGAACTCGCTCATCCCTCATCCTGCCTCATGATATTCAGAAGCGCCTTATCTCTCCATCACATAACCCATGTTGCCTCTAGTTCAGATGCACCATGCGGTGCAACAAGCGCCAAACCTCGATCCCCTCCCGACCTTCCAGCAGTCGCAGCACCACCACCACCAACACCAGTCAGAAGACTACCCTCCACACCAGCATAACTACCATCTCCTCCCTCACTTCAACACGTCTACTTTTAATCAGAATTTACGCTTCCTTTCTACGGACCCGGCCAACGCTCTTTTCTCTGACGGCAAGACGCCACGTTCCTTTCCGATCCGGACTGCTCACGGAAATCAATCCGTTCAGCGCCGTACGACGACAGCGGGCCAGTTACATATTCTTGATGGACCGGAACACCAGTTACGACGCAAGACACCAAATGGCACTATTGACGCCGGCTATGATGGCTCTCATGCTCAATATGCCTCGAGGCCTCCACCCCTGAAGCAAATGGTGCTTCCGGCCGTACCAATGGCGTATGGCGGGAATCACCCTCATCAGACCACAGATCAGGTCCGCACTTCTTTGCCCGTCCGTGATCATGCGGGTGGCAGTTTGAACACAACGCCTCCAACGTACCAACCATGGCCTATTGCACGGGACTTGACGCACCAGTCGATGCACTCTACCGTTTCTTCAGCTTCCTCGCAGTATGGATTCAACACATCGAATACGGCTGCGCTGTTTGGCTCTACGTCCCAACTTCATCCACGGCCCACGCTGTTCAACACCAGTTCTTACCTCCCGGGGATTTCAATTCCAGAAAACGTCGGAGCTAGGATTCCGAGACTACTACAAGTGCCAAATCCGTGGTTTCTGGCTCACCAGCAAGGGCAGAGCTATGTTGGCCCGCCGATGCATAACACCCCGTCTCCATCACCATCAATGTATGACCATCGTTACTCCAAAGTGCATAATCAGATGCCAGGACCATCCGCTCACTTCACTCCACCGGACCCCTACTCTCACCTCTCGTCATACGGATCGGGCTTTCTTCAACCCGCACAATGCCATTTGGAGGCGCTCACTCTAGAACCACACCAAGCTGCCAGCGCTGGTGATTCCTTGGCCAAGGCAAATCCATCCGGGTTTAGAGAAAAAGTGCTGGCTGAAGCACACCGAAGCTATGTTGATTTGCTCGCATTCTTGCACCATGGACGCAAAACTCAACAATTGAGGCCCGGTTCAGCCCTGAGCACTACCTCAAGGATGGTGGTATATCCAAAACCGCCCAAACAGCCCATCGTCGCCTTGACCCCGGACCTCTTTTTTCCGGGAGACGCAGCCATGATGGTAAACGCAAACCTCAGGAATAGCCATGACAGCATGCAGTTCGGGTCACTGGGAGATAAGTCGCCACTCTCAGCGCAACACAGAGGCTGGGATGGAGTAACGGATTTTCGGAATGGCAATTTCCCCGTCGTAAATTCATGTGGCCCTTTGTATTCGATTCAGATTTCGAGAGGCTCACCTCCAGCCAACGCCAAAAGCTCATTAGAAATTCTCAGCCATCTGTGCGAGCAAAGCGGATGGAAATGGATTGATGGTGTTCTACTTGGAGGTTGCTTGCATTACGGTCTGGAACACTTCGAGGAGGCCTTGGAATGGTTTAACCGTATCACGTCGCTGGAGCCCAAGTAAGTCTAAAATCTTAACCTTTTGGTCCTGCGTCTGCCATTCGATGTGTTTGGTATTGCGGGCTCACTCTGACTAACTCGCCATGTAGCCACGTGGAAGCAGTGTCGAATCAGGCGGCCACTTTGTATTGCCTCAACAGACAAGACGAGGCGGAAAAATCCTGGCTGAAAGCGATCAAAACCCGACCGCAATATCTTGAAGCCGTGGAGCATTTGGTCGGTCTATTGTACAAGAAGAAGAGTGTCGACGCGGTCGAGGTAATCAATCTTGTTCAAAAGTCTCTCAGGTTGCCAAAGGGCCCAACAAGGGACGCTGGCTACACCACACCAGCCGCCCGAGGAGATGTGTACTCGAATTCGGCGTCCAATTCGCTGGACGAGGCCCGGAACCAGCCTGGCTTTGGTTCGAGCGGTTATGCCATTCCAGGTACCGAGAATGGTCGCATCCTCGCACTAGTCCATGCCAAAGGGACGATGCTGTACAGTTTGAAAGACATTGCAGGGGCGGCTGAAGCATTTGAGGAAGCCGTCTTGATCAGCGCAGGTAGAAGAACAGCATCTGTTCAGACTTTGGTCCGACAGATCCAGCAGGTTTTGGCACCAAACGGCGGCAGTCACCGCGTCATTGACGGGACAACACCATCTCGCCCATTGTTACTACCTCCTGAACTGGCGAGGCGCACGGCGAAGCTGGTATTTTCCAACAACGGCGACCTTCCAGGCCTGCGATTTGTGCCTGAGGGCGGCCCTAAGCGAGCGGCGGTCCAAACTACGAGCAATTCGCTACTATCTCTCGCCAAGATATTCCAGGATGCCATTTCATCCGGATCGCCGGCTGCGGGACTAGTGAGGAAGTCTGCAGGCGTTGGTGATATTCTCTCCCTCTACTATCTTTCGTTATCACTTCAAGAGAGCCCGTCAACGGCAAATAACGTAGGGATTCTGCTTGCCAGCGTGCAGCAGCCCATGGCAGCTAGCTCAAGCCAGACTTTGTCGTCCTTGCCCAGTATTCCCGGCATCACCCCTGGCAGCGGACTCGCTTTGGCTCTTGCGTACTATAATTACGGGCTTACACTGGATCCGAAGCACGTTCACCTGCATACCAATCTCGGCAGCCTTCTCAAGGACATTGGACAACTAGACCTCGCGATACAGATGTATGAGCAGGCTGTTCAGTGCGATGGAAACTTTGACATTGCCCTGACGAACCTTGCAAATGCCGTCAAGGATCGTGGGCGTATCAGCGACGCAATCGCGTACTACAAACGGGCTGTTCAATCCAATCCAGAATTTGCAGAAGCAGTGTGCGGGCTTTCTACGGCCTTGAACTCGGTTTGTGACTGGAGAGGCCGAGGCGGCGCAGTCCTGCAAGGAGGTACATACGACCGCTGGCATGTCGACAACGACGGCATGTTTCTCGATGCTACAAAGGAAGACCAAGGATCCGGCCTAACGAAGAAGGTTGTCGACATTGTGTCTCGCCAACTCGCTGACGCGTCAACCTGGGGCGTTGGTGTTCTGCAAGAGAAAGACATCGCAGTGCTAGCTGCACAATTGTGCTTGGCCGGTGGGCAGTCAATAGACGCGAATTCCGACTTCTCGACGAAGCTACGAAGCTGGTCCAAGAGTCCTTGGGAAGGTTCGCGTCTGTTGCGGCTCGTGGAGCGTGGTGCGCGGGCAGCGATGCGACGATGGTATTGCGACAAGTATGTCCGAGGCTCAATGAAGTCAACTTCTGATTACAAGCGTCCTCAGCTACCATCCACCCTCGCTGTACCGTCCGCTCCAACAGTCTTACCTTTCCACACTTTTACTTGCCCCTTGACAGCTAAGGATATTCGCATGATATCGCAACGCAATGCCTTCAGGATCTCCTGCTCAACACTTCGCTCTCCCTGGCTTCCGAAGACGGTCTATCCCCCGCCCCCGCCGCCATCGCCCCATCTGAACGTTGGCTATGTTTCTTCGGATTTCAATAACCATCCCCTGGCTCACCTGTAAGACGACCGAAGTCGATTCCACCTTACGAACACGGCTGATACTGACCTCCGCTTAGTATGCAATCCGTTTTTGGATTTCACGATACAACTCGCGTAAAAGCATTCTGCTATGCCACGACAGCGAGTGATAAGTCTGTTCATCGCCTGCAAATTGAACGTGAAGCACCAGTGTTTCGAGATGCCAGCACCTGGACTTCGGATAAGCTAGTGGAACAAATCGTCCAAGACGACATTCACATCCTTGTCAACCTGAATGGCTACACTAGAGGTGCACGAAACGAAATCTTTGCTGCAAGACCTGCTCCGATCCAAATGTCGTTTATGGGCTTTGCTGGCAGTTTGGGTGCCGAGTGGTGTGACTATCTACTTGCAGATGCCACAGCCGTTCCGCCGGAAACACTACGCCCTTGGCGTGGCAACCTCTCTGTCGACGACATTTTTGAGGACAAGACTGAAGAAGGCGATGGAGGTTGGATCTACTCGGAGAATATCGTGTTCTGCAAAGATACTTTCTTTTGCTGCGACCATGCACAATCGAGCGACCCTGATGAGCACAAAGTCTCGTGGGAAGATGAGCAGCGTCGGCGGTGGAGCATGCGGAAAGAGCTGTTTCCCAGCCTGCCCGATGATGCCATTATCATGGGAAACTTCAACCAACTATACAAGGTTGGTCCTATCTCGATTATGAAGCCTCGTCGGTGATGAAGGTGGCTAATTCAATTTCAAGATCGACCCTACAACGTTTCGGACGTGGCTACGCATTCTGGCACAGGTTCCCAAGGCCGTTCTATGGCTTTTACGGTTCCCTGAACTCGGGGAAACAAATCTCCGGAGGACAGCGAGGGCCTGGGCCGGGGAAGAAGTTGCTAACCGGATCATCTTTACGGACGTGGCGCCGAAAAATCAGCACATATCTCGAGCTCGCGTCTGCGATTTATTCCTCGACACTCCTGAATGCAACGCACATACCACGGCCGCGGATGTTTTGTGGTCTAGCACACCTCTCCTGACACTACCACGATATCCCTACAAGATGTGTTCGCGTATGGCGGCATCAATTTTGAAGGGCGCGTTACCCAAAGGCCCCGAGGGTGCAGAGGCAGCGAAAGACCTCATCGCTGGCAGCGAAGAGGAATATGAGCTGTTTGCCATCAGACTAGCCAATGACTTATCTTATCGAATCAATCGTGGTGGCTACGGCGAAGGCAAGGGTCGCTTGGCAGTCTTGCGCAAAACACTGTGGGACAGCAAATGGACTTGTGCGCTTTTTGATACCAGACGATGGGTGATTGATCTCGAGAGGGCTTACGACGAAGCGTGGAGACGCTGGGTGGCAGGGCAGGACGGAGATATCTACTTATAAAGCCTCCGGCATTTGTTCTAGGGGCTTGGCAACTTTGATTACGCATTCATGTACTGGGACGAAGAGCTCGCGCCCAGTACTTATATCCGCCGAAACAACCTTGGTTTTTGGGGGATCGTACTTCGACTTTTATTCTGTGAGCCGCGTTGGTCAGTTACCGGCCGGCGAAGGTGCTAGCCAAGTTTAGATAGCGACGGGAGTTCAAGGTGGAGGACATGCTGTTGACCTGCATAGACGTCAGTCCAGAGCAATTCTGCTCGATGAGCTTGGCATCTCTTCCACTGCCTTAAAGTCACCGGGGGAATTTCAGCGTTGGTTGCGGGATCGATCTGGCGTTTTGAGGGAGGCTTGCCTTGGAGCGGGCTATGATGTACGTAATAATACCCGGGGCCTCTTTCCTCGCCCACGTGAGATGTGAGGCCCTTGCGATCAACGTCTGTTCGATTCGATTCTGGCTGCTTTCGTTCTAGTTCCTGTGCTTCGTCCGACCATCAGACGGTTCCAGTCGAGGCTGAGACCCCTATTCTCTGTCGTCATTGATGCCGTTTATCAAGAACCAGGTTAATTCGACGTTGTTGCACCAGCGCAGGGTGGAACACCTCTCGGAGAGAGTGGATAATAATGGCTAGCAATCTCGGTGAGCATGAAAAAGCCAGGATTGTCTTTCTTTCTTCATGGAGACCGAGACGAAAATGTATGGTGTGACCAACGAATACTCTTCTTGAAGCGCACAGAGGAATCGAGAGCAGAAGTTCGCAGTAAGCATTGGAGCCAAAGCCAACGGACGGACCATCGTGGACATGTGGCGGCATTCATGGCATGTCGACACTGACGGGGTGGAGCTGGACAGGCCGCAAGAAGATCGTCAACTCGATTTGTCAATATTGGAAAGGCACAGCATCCCGTAAAGAGACCAATGGTGAGCTGTGAATTTTGATGTTTCTCCCTCCACATAATTATGTAGGATGGAAAGGGGTGTTGCGAGTTGCTAGTGACGACACCCGATCTAGGCTCAATTGAAGCGACGTCCTATGAGTTGTGTGTTTGTCCCGAGACCATGCCGCTCCACCGTTAGACCACGCCCTTTCTTAGTTAGGGGCTTCGGGGAGGAAGAAGCCACAAACGTGGGAACTATAACTGCAGCGAGGGACATGGTCTCGAAGCCAAGTTTTGCTCGACGACGAGGGAAAATGTAGTAGCTATCCGGTCGATGTCGTTTGGGCTGGGAGCGAGAAGAAAGGTTGAACAGAGGAAAGAGTCGCAATGGTCCTTCTGACGAGAAGGCAGATCTATCTCTCAAAAGTTGTACTATCCACAGGAGAGCCAGCAGGACACACAATGGGGGCCGGCAGGTTGACGAACAAGGCCATTCACATTGTCATTTTGTAACAGCCAAGCCTACAAGTTGTCGGCAATTCGACAAGCAAGACGGGTCAAGATGATGTGTGCATCTTTCAAATCAGTTACGATCTGCCTCCCTGTCTCTCTTCTCTGGTCCCTGAACACGAGGACTCGCAAAACTAACGACCCAGCCTATGTTTACCCATCAACGGCAAGCAAAACCGTTGCAGGGTTTTGGCGAAGGTGGCTTGCTCGGCAACTTAGAAGAGCCTATGCGAGGCAGAAGTCACCATCTGATAAACGTACGTGACTGTTGGAATCGTCGCTTTAGCTAGCGCGCTGTGGCAACCTTTGTCTGCTGTAGCACCAAGAGCCATGTTAATTTGGCTTCAAATGAGATTCATTTCTATCTGTTTAGACATGGACAGAAGTCCCAGATTCCCCTCTCTCTGGCGCTCCTGAGTTTGAGACACCGCGATAACACTACCAATTACAACCATAACAACAACAATGGCAGCAACAGAATTTCCGAGGGAGCTTGGCGTATGGGGCGTAAGGGGCGTAGGGAGAGGGGGTGAGGGGGCAATGGTCAATGCTGTAAGTTGGCAATGAGCACGAGCGAGATCTTCGTGCCCTCGATTGGTAGACGCTGACCAGTGTGTCAATGTTTCAACAGCATTGCAGACGAGATATAATGGAGGAGAGAAAGAACGAGGGTAGATCACCTAGGTAGATGGACTCATTCCAGTCCCAAGAGAGAGAGAGAGCTTGGACACGACACCGCTGGTCCACGTCTTGTGGCTGGCTCGAAGCCAGGGCAAGGGGGCAAGGGGCGCGAGCCGTGGGATGAATGATGGCCACGTTAGTCACGACAGCAAGAAATTCAGCGGCACGCCCATCACTGTGGCTCATCAATAATACAACACACCTTGTGTGCACATGCTGCTGGCCAAGGGGTGGTCTAGATACAGTAGAGTCGGCTGAAATTGTTGTCGTTGGTCAAAACCTCACGACAGAATTGTGGCTGACTAGTCCTTCAGGCGTAACGGGCCGTTGCTGGAACTGTTATTCTGGCACTGCTGTCGTAAAACGCCACACCCGCGGACAATGGTCAGTCATTACGTGACCCGAGATGCTATCAGTACTAGCACCGGACGCATAAAGGCAATGTCCTATTCTGGAAATGTATTTTTGGCTGCTCCAGTTGGCCGGCGCTGAATCGGAGAAGCAGGGCTTGTCGGAGACTGCAGGAAAGAGCCAAGTAGTACGGAGTAGGAAGAAACATTTTCATCTGCCCTACGGTTCGTACGACACTGTCTTGAGGGCAGAAACAGAGACGAGGATGGCCGAGAAGACATGATGCTCACAAGTTCCTGCCCGAGTCTTCACGGTTGTCCAACATGATCTGTAACCAACGGGACTGAAAAGGAATCGGGGCGGCCTCTGGTTAGACGGGTGCCCGGTGACGAGGGAAAGTATCCAACACGACACGAGGAATGAGATACTAGCTCGCCGTGTTGATGGCACGGCAGCGAGAGTCCTATTCAGGCTCGGCTGTCTGACGGGCTATGCCCTTGGTCGTTTTCTCCATCCATAACCGTGCCATACGTACCCGCGTCAACGCTTGGATCTTCTCTTGAAGAGCATTCTTCGACGTGGACAAATGTGGCCAACTGTCTAGCCCGCAGAGCCTAAAGAGGCAGGATTGCACTGTTCCATCAGCTACCCGATTCATTGGTGGACTGGTGTGGCCAGCTGGATGAGACGACGCGCAGGCTGTGTTGCTCTTGGGTTGGGCACGAATAGGTAGAATGTATATTTGGTGCAGAAAGAATACTACGTATTCAATCATCGATATTGTTGCCCATTTTAGACACACGCACATAGACTTGATGTGGGTGTAAAGTGGAAGGAGGCACGTCAGGCTCGGAACGTTCTCGCCCCGAAAGTGGATAGTGGGTTGAAAAGACGGAGTGGGTAGGTGTATAAGTGGCACTGGGCAGAAGCTGGAGTAAATGAACTCGGAAATATGACCTGTAGCGTGTATGAGCGCGAAGACAAAAACGGGGCTCAAGGGAACGGGTGTGAGAAGGAGAAGGCGTTGAATGGACAGACGGCAGGGAGCCGGCCATGGTAAAGTAAGGTAGTGTAAGGGTGAGGTAAGGGCGACAAGGTCTTGAGCGCTGATTGGAAACCCACCGTTCTTTACATCTCAGCGCTGAAAAGCGCTGCAAGACAATGGTGAGTTGCTATAGCCTGTCGCCCTATCCGTATGATGGGAAGGAAAGGAGGACGAGCCGGGGCTGGCTGTGTATACATGGGTGCGTGCAGGTGAGATGAAGCTGGTGGTGGAGATTCTTGTTTCATGAAACCGACGGGTCGGTCAAGCGCTAATGAATTTCTCTTGCTGGGAGATTCCGTGTACCTACTCGGCATGTCCTGGCCGGAGATCAATGGTAGGCCTGGGGGGTTAAGGAGGGGCTGTCGTGAAGGGGGAATTTGAGAAACATTACGAAATATGGAGACATTGCGTTTGGGACAAGGAGCAGAGAGAGGGTCAGCATGTGAGGAAAATGTCAAATGGCCAAAAATTCGCTTGCGTTGTCCCTTCGTGGCCTAGCTCAATTGACATGGACATGGGGTGCCAGCGGAGGCCCGGGAGGGGGAGGGATGCGGATCTGACGATTGTGCCATGGAAAGTCGCGCTAGTATCATCCCAGCGTAACAAAACAGCTATCGAACCGACAACAACACCATGTAACCGCCGTATGCATGCCATATAGGTGAGACTCGACGACGAAAGCTGGAGCTGGAGCTGAGGTTGGAGCTGTTGAGCCCGGAGACCAGAGAGTGGGGGGAGGAAAACATGTAGAGCACGCCCGACATGGATCAGCATGCGTCTACGGATTCACGTCCACGGCTTCCATTCATCGTTCACAGGTCTGCCTGCCATCTGCTTGCCTTTATCGTCAGTGCAAAGCTGTGCGAAGTACTGTCGTTGAACGGGTACGAGGAGGTGCAGGCTAATGAGGGAGATGGGCAAATTATGCCACCTCCGCGACAATTGCCAACCAACCTTGAGCATCATCATCATCATTCATCATCAACCCTTGCAGGATATGTACAGAGAGAAAGAGAGAGCACTTATCCGTACTACTCCCCAATCTAGACCACCTGGGCCCCCGGTCATGTTGTGTTGGTCCGTCCGCTCGCCTGTCCATTGCCGTCAACAGCGCACCTAACTACCAACGTCGAGAACCATCCAGCTGGAAAGGATGCCAACGGTCTTTGGTTATGGGTTTTAACGTAGCTTATTCCTTGGTGCAGCGGCTGCCACCGCCCTAGGGGACCTAGTCGCCGGTGTCCCAAGTTCTCGGGCGCAGCTAACATGGACGAGGTGCGCAAGCCACATTCAGCGCCGAGACTTGTCAAAGGACGTGCTGCTGGCTCCGGCCAGGGCTAACGCCGCCGATTATGGCGTCGGACGAGATTCCACTTTGGGCACCGCTATACCGGGAGGAGCGCCAGCATCAACGGAGGAGGAGGAGTCGTTCGTCCTTCCAATGCAGCCAGCCAGCCAGTCGGTAGTTGTGGCCAGTCGGTCCCCATTGTTTGTTTTGCCGTACGGATAGGTGTGCAACGCGTGGTCCGTGGATGCT